CTCAGTGTAATTTTTTTCAGCTGTCCCAGCATCATTTGTTTCTTTCCCTCAAGAAATATTTACAATAGTAAACAGAACTGATTTTTAAGGAGCTTAATGAACCCAACTCTGAGCTGATTTGAATAGAATACAATTGATAAACATGACTTCTAGGTCAGTCTTTGTTTTTGTTTGTTTTGGTTTTAATTTTATGCTTTTTACTTTTTTGAATCAGAAGTAGAATTAGAATACTAATGCTAAACTAAAGTGTCTGTTTTAAATACCTGGAGTTCCCAAATGATATTCCCCTCTAGAAATATTCTGAAAAGGGTCATGTGGAGGCATGAGTATTATTAGTTAGACAGTACTAGTGGTTTAGTGCTCTGTAAGCGTGATCTACTCCCAGGTGCATATACTTCCCCAAATTTGGGGGAATATATCTAACCTGAAACTTTGTATGATTTGCCTCCCTTGTTCCTTGTCTTGTTCTCCTGACATTGGTTTCTGCTTCTATGTTACAGAAAAGAAGAAGAAAAGCTCAACCAGGAAAAAAAGGCTTCTATTTCTTTAGAATACACAGACTAACATTCTTACATGGTAAGTTTCTCAGTTGGTTGCTTTCTTTCCTTAGCTTACTTGCACGTTTAATCTCTACTGTAGATCTCCTAGATGACATGATTGTTAGGTGTTTCCTGTATGAAATGAGAGGAGCTGGGCAGAGAGATAAAAGTCTTTTCTTGTGTTATGGATGGCTTTCCCTTTGAGTGTGTTTTGTGCAAAGGACTAGAAAGCTAGAACCTCCTATCATTAAAGCTGAGAATTCTATGATTATTTGAAGCTTTGGGGTTATATTTACCACCCTTAAGAATAATAAATTAACTTTCAATATGTAAGTAAATTTTTTTAATGAAAGAATTAATATTTGCTTTTTTCTTTTCTTTTCTTGTAAACTAATCATGGCAGTTAAGAGTGACTCAATAGATATGCTTGACATTTTGACAAGAGAACTTCTATATTCTTTGGAACTGATTTCAACTCCTCTCATTTAGTTATTGGGATTATGAACCCAATTTTAGTGGTGTGTAATTTTGTTTTTCCAGTTTTTAGGTTTATTAGGCTTAAAAGGTAGGTTGATTTAATATGATTATAATTTCTATTCCCTGAAGTTGATCCATTATTATCATTTGCAAAAAGAGCCACAGTTTTACAGCCTAAAGCTCCAGTGAAAGTTCACAAGAATTTATACAAAAAGAATATGGAGAAAAATGATTCTATTGTAAACCTAGGGAAAAAAATTGGTATCACAGAGATTTTTACCAAGGGCTATTTTTAAAATTAAGCAGATTTTCTAAGTCAGGGGCATGGAAAATAAAGACAGAGGCTGTTTAAGATTCAAAGAAATTTAAGAGAGTGATACAATCAAGTGCAGTGTATGATCTCTGACTGGATGGACACTAGTCTGAATGAACTAGTTATAAAAAGAGTTGGGGGTACAACTGGGAAAGTCTTAATATGAAAAATGTCAATATGGATAATATTAGAGAGTTATCATTAATTTTTATTAGGTATAATAAAGATATTGTGCTTACACAGGAAGACATCCATATTTTAAAAATGCATATTGGAGTACTTATGGGTAAAATGTCAGTAATTTGTTTTAAAAACTCTAGCCCCCCCCCATATATGTTATTTATAGCAGGTACAATTTATAGCTATACAATTAAGTGAGAGTGTATTCTACACACTGACTTCTTTGCTTTTCTGTATATTTGATTTTCTTTATTATAAAGGGGTTGGGGGGAGACAGAGAGAGAATGTATGTATGTGAGTAAGCAGATATTGATCATCCAAGGGTCTAGGGAAGGCAGGGACTATGAGTTAAGGACACTGACCCTGAGAACTATGTAATAAAGATCAGGAAATTTTTTAAAAAGTTAAATTAGGAGACGACAAATATACTTAAGAATATTTTTCTTCACAATGGAAAATAGATAAAGTAATATATATGTAACATGTCAGGTACTCCTATTGCACTGTTGCTAAATGCATTATCCATTTAAATTCTGCTTTGTATTTCAGGAAGCTGAATATTTCCCAGAACAAGAACCCTATGATAAGCTGGAGTTAATGGAAGCTTTGCTTTGGCTTTTCCAGTTGTGACTTGTCTTCCAACCAGTGCTGCAGTATATAACCACCTAGATGAGCAACGTTCCTCTGAAGCCAGCATAGGGCCCTTCTTGAGCAGATACTACCAGACTCACAAACAGCTCTGTTACTAAGGTTTTATTAATTTCAGAGTGCAAATATTTTTCAAATGCTCACTAGGTTTTATATACTAAGAAGCTATATTTTTGCCCTTAAACACTCCTTGTGGATTATGATTTATATTCACATATATTGGCCTCAAATGAGATAAAAACCAAACTGTCTGTCACGTTTACTTTGATATATTAATTTTAGAGCAGTGTTCTAGCTACTAAAGTTAACATCTTTATTCTTTCCTTCTCACATGCTTGGTTAAAAGGTGAGCTAATTCTCTCAACAGTTTTGATTAATTACAGAAAATCCTAAATTCAAACTGTTAAAGAATAGTTTGATTTTTTATGGCTCTCCTTAAGTATGAGACACATGTTATTTTATTGAATTTCTTTCAATACCCTAGATGGCAGGTTTTTGTTTTTGTTTGTTTTTGGTCAGTTGACCCAAGGTTTACAGTAGCACAAGCCAAAACCACAGAATAACTAGGGAAGGTGACATAAATGCTAATAGATTGACAAATGCCACCTCAGGATGAAATGCTTGTCACCTTTTTTCTGTGCTCTGATAAGTGACCCATAGCTCTAATTTTTCACAAGCAGTGAATGACTGTTTAGCTTACTATATTCCCCACTTCCAATTCAATTATTTATAACAACAGAGCAAAATCTACGCTCGTTTGTAGACTGGAATCATTAAGCAGTTAAATGGAAGGATTCTGAAGTAGTATATTACAATTTAAGAATTTAGGGCTAGTGAAAAAAAATCAACCCTAAATGGTAATAATTTTCTCTAGTGTTATACAAACTCTGAGAACTGGAAGAGATTAAATTGTTTCTTTCTTTTTTTTTTTGTTTCTTTCTTTTATATATTTTTTGTTTTAATACAGCTTGATACTTTAATTTCACCAACTAGGCTGAAAATGTTATTTCTGTTAACAAACTGGAGTTTCAAAGCAGTTTATTTGTATTTAAAGATGATGAACTTTGATTTTTTTCCCCAATACTAAAAGAAACCCACACTGGTATAATTTACTTATGAACTTGAAATGCTTCTCATGCCTGTCTCATTTTGCCTTTTATACGATCTAAAAAAGTAGTTTCAGTACCCAGTTTTGAAACTAAAAATCAAGTTTAAAGTCCATATTACCTTTCATTCACATTTTCTTTTTTTTTCCTCTACATTAAACCTTTGAAAATATAGTAACTGGATATTTCTTCAAACAGATGGCCTGGATAAAATGTAGAGGTAGTTAAAAACTTATGGAAGGTGTTTCCAGCAAAACTTGTAGTTTCTGTGTCTTGGTTAAATGCTCAAGGGTTAATACAGCCTCATTGTTCAGTGTCTTCTACTTAAAGAGAACTTTTGTACTGTAATTTATTTTTTATTGTGCCTTAAACACTATGTAAATAACTCAGTAATAAAGCATTACAATTATATAATTTGCTTATACGAAAATCTAAAATTTTTACATAGCAGGTAACAGAAAACTGATGGGAATGTATTTTACCTCTATTGAAAAATTTTCTAAGGGGCAGCCTGGAAGTCAATAATAGAATTAGTTTCTACTGGATAAATAAAACTATATGAATTTCCACAGAATTTTCACATTGCTTTGAACAACAGAATTGAGCACAACAAACTACTTAGTTTGGGGACTCTTTTGAAGGAACAGTAAGTATCATCTCTTCCATCTGATACTCTTACATTACCTTCTTAAGAGAGAAAACTACCAGCTTTCAAGTCTAGTAAAGAAATGCGAGTTGGAAAATGTAAAGTTATTAACTATCCCAAAAGTTGAAGCATATTTTCGTTCCCTTGCTTTCATTAAACATACGTAGATTCCAGGAGAATAGACTAATAATTAAAGGACAGTACTATCCCATTTCTTTTTCAGAAGAATCAGACATCACCTCTTCATTTCACTTCAAGCACTGTGAAAACACTTTCTCGCTTTTCCAACCAAAAGAAGCATAAGTCTCAGCTCCTTTTTGTAATGATTGCATCATTGCCACTGTCAGCAGTAACTTAAGTGAAAGAAAGTGAAGTCGCTCAGTAGTGTCCGACTCTTTGCGACCCCATGGGCTGTAGCCTACCAGGCTCCACCGTCCATGGGATTTTCCAGGCAAGATTACTGGTGTGGGTTGCCATTTACTTCTCCAGGGGATCTTCAAGACCCAGGGATCGAACCTGAGTCTCCAGTAATTTAACACACACCTAATTTAAATTTAGGTACGTACTGAGATGGATGCTGTTATTAGCTACACACACACACACACACACACACAAGAATACAAATCAGTCTTGTACAAACTGCCCACGAAGGCCTAATACAAATTAATCTATTCACCGAATGACCCTGTATGCTCTCCAGGGTTCCTGTGAACTCTTAAATGCATAGAAATCTATTCTGAAAGCATTCAATAAAATAATCTGTAAGGAGTTAAAAGATTTCTGGCTTAGAGTCAGAGGATCAAGACGATAAAGTCCTGCAGAATTCCATTACAACAGTCAATTCTCCAAAGCCTGTCCGACTTCATTTCGAGTAAGACAGGATACTGAACTCCTACTTGAGAGTTAAGCATCGCTGACTGGAAGTGAGCAAATCCAGGTGTGGCTCTGGAAAGAAGCCGCGTTGCTATGGCAACTTGAATCGCCATTTTAGGTCTTCTCGCGGCCTCCCGCCCTTACGTCACTTCCGGTGTTACCTGTGTGGTTATCGGGAGCCGTAAACAAGGTGTGCAAACTTCTGGAGACCTGTCGGGATGCAGCAGAGCGGGGTTCCTGGAAGCCGTGGCTGCGCTCTGTGCCCACTGCTGGGTGTCCTGTTCTTCCAGGGTGAGTGAGCCGGCGGCGGGCTCAACTTACTTCCGGCCGGGGGCTCAGGGAAGATGGTCGCTTTTCCGGTTCCGGTGGGGGGTCTTAGGAAAGCCCCCACTGAGCTTCTGGGAAGGAAGGAAGGAAGCTGGAGGCACTGGGGAGGATGTTCTCGTAATTACCACCCACTGAGCGGAGTTGGTGGCTTCTCGGTGTTTTCTCGAGCCCCTGAGAGCTCGACCACCTTGCGTGACTCTTGTATTGGGCGATGGCGCGACTTGATGGAAACACTGAGGGCCCTGACTTTGGGGGCACCTGGCATTATCTCGTGATGAGTTACCAAGGATTGACTCGGCTGTGGTTTTGTGGGCCTTATCTCCTGCTTAGGAGAGAACAGTTCTAGTCTTCAGTAGTTTGTCCCAGTAATTTTGGGAAAGTAGATTCATGATTGTTGGCAATTTTATTTTTTCTAAGAGACAGTCAGGGCCTAGGAAGTAAAACATTTGTTAGCCGCAGAAAGAATGTTCTTTGATCGCGTGATAGTGATGCATTTGTTGAGGAAAAGCAACTGCTTTATTATTTTGATAACAGTTTCTTTTTTTTTAATAGAAGGCAGGGAATGTCAATTCTGTTAAAATTGTAATCAGTTAAATAATATCAGTTAATATTCACTCTGACATAATCTTAAAATTTGGATAAGTTTTGCTTTCATGCAGTTTTCAAGTTTCATAAATTTCAGTCAACCTAATTACCTTCATCTAGGGTGCAATTATTTCCTGGATTTTTGTGTATGTATGTGTTTGTCTTCCCCCAGGAAATCATATGTTAGTAGAGCTAGCATTAGAGTGAATTGTTAACTTTGTAAAAAATTTCCCTGTGGGAATTTCTGAAGAGGACCTTTGACATAAAAGCTTCAGGTGTGGTTAAGTCTCAGCAGGTAGGGCTAGGGAGTTCTTATTTATTTGATCATGACTAGTGTTTATGCCGCCAGGACACTCCCTGATCCCTCCCAGCTTTTCAGCTAAATTATTTTGCAATATACTATTTAGTCTGAACTGCTGTCACTCTAAATAACCCTGGTTTCCTGTCTCCCTCTTTTTCTCTCTCACTCTCACACAAATGTTCAAATATTACCCTACTGAAAAAAAAAATCTAGAAATAATGGGTGATTTCACAAACTTGAAGTTATTTCACATTAAAAAACATCCATCAATTCAGCAGGCCAAAAAATCCAAGCGTTGAAAGTTGAGTTTATGATCTGTATATACTTGTTGATTTATCTTTTGCCTTAAGAAAAAAAAAACCACCAAAACAGATTTATTGAGATATAGTTCATATGCCAAATGATTTACCTATTTAAAGCATACCATTCAGGGAATTTGGGGATGGTCCAGTGATTAGGATTCCTTGCTTCCACTGCAGGTGGCAGGGGTTTGGTCCCTGGTGGTGGTTCAGTGCTAAAAAATCTACCTCCAGTGCAGGAGGCGCAAGGCTCAAGTTCTGTCCCTTGGTTGGGAAGATCCCTTGGGGGAGGAAATGGCACCCCACTCCAGTATTCTTGTCTGGAAAATCCCATGGACAGAGGAGCCTGGTGGGCTAAAGTCCATAGGATCACAAAGAGTCGGACATGACTGAGCATGAGCACAATAGGGAACTAAGATTCTGCATGCTATGCAGTGCAGCCAAAAAAGAAAAAGTGTACCGTTTACAGTTGTGCAATTATTACAACAATTTTAGAACATTTTCATCATCTCAAAGAGAAACTCCATAGTCATTAATAGTCATGTCTTATTCTTTGCACTCCTCTGGTCCTGGCAAACACAGGTTTACTTTCTACTGCTGTGGTTGCCTATTCTGGATATTTCGTAGAATTGGACTTGTACAGTATGTGTTCCTTTGTGACTAGTTTTCTTTTTTCACTTAGTGTCTTCAAGGTTCATCCATTTTTGGGAGGTCTTACTTTTGTTTTGAGTCTGTTGGGTAATAGACTTTGGTTTCATTCCAACTTACTTGCCTTGCCTTCTCATATTTTTGTTGCTGTTGATGTTTAGTCTCTCAGTTGTATTCGACTGTTTACGGCCCCATGGACTGTAATGGCTCCTCTGTCTATGGGGTTCTCCAGGCAAGAGTACTGAAGTGGGTTGCCATTCCCTTCTCCAGGGGATCTTCTGGACCCAGAGACTGAACCCAAGTCTCCTGCTTGGCAGGCGGATTCTTTACTGTCTGAGCCACCAGGGAAGCCCAAATATGTAGAACCAGTAGATTAAGATTCCTAGTGCTTACGCTTTTCTGTTTTCCATCTAGGTGTACAATTTTATGAATCAAAGCTTGAGAGATTTTTGTTTTGGAAAATTGGGTGTATAAAATTGGGAATTTTATAATTTTCCCCCGTTTCTTTCATGTATAAAATTCAGTTCAGTTCAGTTGCTCAGTCGTGTCCGACTCTTTGTGACCCCTTGAACCGCAGCACGCCACCAACTCCCGGAGTCTACCCAAACCCATGTCCATCGAGTGGGTGATGCCATCCAACCATCTCATCCTCTGTCGTCCCCTTCTCCTCCTGCCCTCAATCTTTCCCAGCATCAGGGTCCTTTCAAATGAGTCAGCTCTTCACATCAGGTGGCCAAAGGATTGGAGTTTCAGCTTCAACATCAGTCCTTCCAATGAACACCCAGGACTGATCTCCTTTAGGATGGACTGGTTGGATCTCCTTGCAGTCCAAGGGACTCTCAAGAGTCTTTTCCAACACCACAGTTCAAAAGCATCAATTCTTCGGCGCTCAGCTTTCTTTATAGTCCAACTCTCACATCCATACATGACCACTGGAAAAACCATAGCCTTGACTAGTCGGACCTTTGTTGGCAAAGTTACGTCTCTGCTTTTTAATATGCTGTCTAGGTTGGTCATAACTTTTCTTCCAAGGAGCAAGCATCTTTTAATTTCATGGCTGCAGTCACCATCTGCAGTGATTTTAGAACCCAGAAAAATAAAGTCAGCCATTGTTTCCACTGTTTCCCCATTTATTTGCCATGAAGTGATAGGAACAGATGCCATGATCTTAGTTTTCTGAATGTTGAGCTTTAAGCCAACTTTTTCACTCTCCTCTTTCGCTTTCATCAAGAGGCTCTTTAGTTCTTCTTCACTTTCTGCCATAAGGGTGTCATCTGCATATCTGAGGTTATTGATATTTCTCCCAGCAATCTTGATTCCAGCTTGTGCTTCCTCCAGCCCAGTGTTTCTCACGATGTACTCTGCATATAAGTTAAATAAGCAGGGTGATGATATACAGCCTTGATGTACTCCTTTTCCTATTTGGAACCAGTCTGTTGTTCCATGTATGATTTTCTTGTTTTCTTTCCAGATTAGACATTTTAAAAAATTTATATATTACTTCTCTTGTTGGCTAGTTTTACCTGGCAAAATGCTTTTTCCCTCTACATATGTGCTAAGTCAGTTCAGTTGTGTCTGAGTCTTTGGAATCCTATGGACTGTAGCATGCCGGGCTCCTCTCCATGGGATTCTCCAGGTAAAAATACTGGAGTTGATGGCTGTGCCTTCCTCCAGGGGATCTTCCCAACCTAGGGATTGAATCGGCACCTCATGTCTCCTGCACTGGCAGGCAATTTCTTTACCACTAGTACCACCTGGAAAACCCTTTTCTCTTTGAGACAAGATAAATATCCATTAACACATTAGGCCTAGGGTGAAAGTTTCTGAATGAATGTAACTTTGGATTGATGTTTTTCTCTCATTTTTTTTTTTGACTGGAAGAGACAAATTATTTTCTATCCAGTGATTTTAGAATACTTTTAATTTCAGTAAAACATATAGAGGAAAGTGCCCATGTCATAAGTGTATAGCTTAGTGAATTTTGAGAAACTGAGCACATCTGGGTGACTAACCAGAGCCAAAATCAGGATGTAGGTTGTTACTGACTTTCCAGAAACTTTCCTCATGCCTCCTTTCAGGCCTTCTCCCTTCTCCTCCAGGGGAATGAATGTTAGTGTAGATTTGTTTAGTTCACCATGGATATTATGGTTACTTTTCTGTAACTATACATTGAAGACCTGCTTATCTAGTGTTTAAAGTTCAGTAAAGTGACTTTACATATTGATCGCTTTGTGGCAAAATTATGTTCATGAATATTGAGTTTATATAAAGAAGAAAGACGTTTCTAGTAGGTAGTTTTATTGAAGGTGTGGTTACTATAATTTAGTAATCAAAATTTGCTCAGAATTTGTCATTTTTATGCTTACTTTATAGCAATTTTCATTTTGTAAAAGGAAACCCTTGGTTTTGTTCCATTGAATAAATATTACTGAGCATCCATAATATGCTAGGTTCCATTTGGATGAGTTCAGGGTCTATTGAAGAAGACAGACAAGTCAACATATTATTTTAGAATCTAGTACTAAGAGCAAAATGCACTAGAAACCATGACATCACAGAGGAGGTGCCCTTAATTTGCTAAGAGGCTACTGGGAAGACTTCCTGGAGGTGTCTCAAAAATTAAATCTTGAAAGACGAATAAGAGTTAGATCTTGGAGAATAGAAAATGGAGCTTCCCTGGTGGCTCAAATGGTGAAGAATCTGCCTGCAATGAAGGAGACCCAGGTTTGCTCCCTGGGTTGGGAGATCCCCTGGAGAAAGGACTGGCTGCCCCATGGACAGAGGAGCCTGGTGAGCTACAGTCCATGGGATCACAAAGAGTCGGACAGGACTGAGCTACTAACACAACAACAGAGAAAGGGAGTAAGGAAAATTCCAGACATAGAAACATAAACAAGGGATGGCGGTATTAAGTAATTTTCAAAACAAATTTGATTAGATTAACCTAAATCCTGTGTTAACCCCAGATATACCTCTATGGTCAGGAGGATGGTGTGCTGGATCTAGTTCCTATTGGCTTTCAAGAGTTGATCATGCACATGTCTTCCTAACTCAGCATTCAGAGACTTTGCATTTGTAGTTTGAAAATGGCCATGGTGGGAGTATCTGTACCACAGGAATTGTCAAACCCT